GCGTCCCGGGGGCTCCCGGGCCGGTCATCCCTCCCTCTTCCCCCCAGCTGAGGAGGAAACTCCTGAAAGAGAAAAGTGTCTCCTTAGATGAAGAACGTCGGACATGGTCTGTCTGTAAAGTGAACCCAAAGCTGGCCTTCGCCTCCCCACGGAGAGGCGCTTTCTTGGCGGTTGGTGGACTCAGCTTCCTAATAATGGCGCTGGCCTGCTGAGAGCTGCAGTCTTTATCCTCACCACAGTGGCCAAGGCCAAGAGTTAGTAACCTCCTAGCTGATTGTTTTTTGAACTTAGAATGCTCACGTTTCTTATCCATGGATTATTATTATTAAAAACTGAAACTTGGGAGCGTACACTTGTTCAGCCACTTTGGAAATCAGTATGGAGGTTCCTCAAGTGACTCCATATAGAGCTCCCGTATGACCCAGCAATCCCACTTTTGGGCATTTACCCAAGTGTTTACAAACAAGACCCTACTAAAGCTACCAGCACAACTATGTTTATTGCAGCACTATTTACTATAGCTAAGATATGGAACCAACCCAGATCACGAAAATGTGGTATATATACACAATGGAATTCTATGCCTCCATCAGAAAGAAGACATTGCCCCATTTGATAGGAAATGGAAAGACTTGGAAAAAATTATATTAAGTGAAGTAAGCCAGGCCCCAAAGAAACATAGGTCCCATGGTTTCCCTTATTTGCAATATCTAGTATATGTCTGAGTCAAGCAGAAAAGGTCAGATAAGTTGATGTTAGGCGAAATGAACCCAAGATAAGGATTCAAATGTTTTTTTTCTTTCATGTGATTGTTTCTAACATATTTATAAGATGATTTTTTTTTGTTGCTTTGTATGTCCGTCCCCCACGGTACAACCCCTGCTTTCACTGTATTTGATGTTGGTATACTTTGTGGAGGGGAAGGGAAAAAAACCAATTGTTTAAATAGGGATACAGGTGGACCCATTGCAACAATGAGATGTACAAGACGTTATGTCCAAAAACGAACTTTACAACTTTGGCAGGGGAGAGGGCAGGAAGATGGGAAGGAATAGGAAGGGGAAACAAAGGAGGAGGCAACAATGCTTGATACGAAATGTACTCATTACCTTGCCCGTGTAATTGTAACCCCTCTGTACAGTATTTTCACAATTAAAAAAAAGAACAAATAAGGGAGTGCCAGACATTGGTGACTTCTGCCTCAGTTCGGTTCTTAGCCTTGTTAACAAAACAAAACGATCCCACTCTCTCAACCTCCACGCATATCTCCCCTGTCCTTATCTCTCATTGTAGGTTCTCATATTATTATCCGGGGAAAGATTATAATAAAAAAAGTACCATTTATGTCTCTTTCCAAACACAGATTACTTGAGTCAACCTGAGCAAAGTTTGCTCCATATGCCCATTGATTCATTTTTTTATGTTATTCACAGTCTTTAAAAACTATAGGTAGTAGGCAAGGTTTGTTTTTTTCTTCTAATAACAAGCTATCAGGATGTAGTTTAAAACATTAAGAGTGCCTACCAATTGCGATTTATTTTATTATTTTTTTGGGTCCGGTCGTGGGGCCTGAACTCTGGGCCTGGGCGCTGTCCCTCAGCTCTTCAGCTCAAGGCTCGCGCTCTACCACTTGAGCCATAGGGCCACTTCCAGCTTTTTTTCTTTTTGCTTATGTGGTGCTGGGGAATCGAACCCAGGGCCTCAGGCATGCAAGGCAAGCACTCTACCACTGAGCCACCTTCCCAGCCCCAATTGCGATTTTTTTTGATGACAAGTTTGTTTATTTGGGACAGTAAGACACCAAATGGAATAAACTCAAATTACATGGTTACATTAAGATTTATATACTACAAGGTAAAACATATATAACTGTGTTTTGTAGACAAAAATATATCAGAATAAAAGTTAATACCTTCATTATGCAAACTAGGTAGTAAAAGTAAGCCCTAAATTTGACCACAGCTTTGTAGATACCAAAAATTGCTTCAGGAATTAGCTTCAGGAAATGCGTGCATGCTAACCTAACCTACATTAGATGGGTCTGTAAACTAGAATGGCATGTGTGTGTGTGTGTGTGTGTGTGTGTGTATACACACGCACACACAATTTGTGGTATAATTTATGGTGAAGCAGTTCCTAATGAGAATAATTTATGGCAAAGCAATTCCTAGTGAATGATGAATTAAAGTTTTTCATACTCAACAAACAGCTATTACAGAAGGAGGAACTAATGGTCCATAACCTGATGTCATTAGAGGCTTTAAAGATGACCTTGATACTGCATCTGTCTTTTGAAACTAATACTGACTCACACAGTTCTGCTTGAAGTCTCCTTTTTCAGCTTGTGTGTATTTTACCACTATATCACAATGCAGTTAACACATAGCATCGTCTTGCATTAGTTACATCTCATATCTGCTTTTAATCAGTGAATTTTCTGCATTTACTCAATATAGGAGATTCTTTGACTTTAGCAGCAATTTCTAATTTTTAAAGAACCTAAGAAAATTCTGGTAAAACATACTTTTATCATGATTGCCAAAAGACATGCAAACAGAATTAGTAAAGTTCATTCAGATGAATACATTATCGAGTAAAAAATTTTACTGCATAATTGCAAAGTTTGCAATAATCCCAATTGTTGTTCTCAGATAAAGGAACAACATTGGAACACCAACACCCTCTAATGAACATCTACTCATAAATATGTGGGTAAAAGAGAATGCCTACTGGTTCACAATAGCTATACATTCAGTATTGGGTAGTGGTTATCTTTATTGACATCTCTACATAAATATGTCTAAGGAAAGCCAGTAGAAGTACAGCATAGATATTTCAATCTACTATGTGTCCCCTGTTTCTAGACTCAGATGTGGTTGTAACTGAACATTGCATGTCCTACCTTTCCCCAAATATTTAAGTTTACCTTATCTCTCTTCAGGCATGTGCATTCTTTGCTACAGGCCCCAGACAAAATGATGGAACATTCTATGAATTTCGGACCTATTATCTTAAGTCCTCAAAGATGAATGAGTTCCTAGAAAATTTTAAGAAAAATGTTCACCTTCGGACAGCTCACTCTGAATTGGTTGGATATTGGAGTGTAGAATTTGGAGGCAGAATGAACACAGTATTTCATATCTGGAAATATGGTATGCATCACACAGTTTGTGTTCCATACAGGTATATTTGTTCTGTTGGATGTTACATGACACGTAGTTTTTTGTTTGTTCATTTTGTTTTTGGGGTTTTTTTTTTTGCCAGTTGTGGGGCCTGAACTGTGGGCCTGGGCATTGTCCCTCAGCTCTTCAGCTCAAGGCTAGGGCTCTAACACTTGAGCTATAGCACCACTTCCAGCTTTTTCTGTTTATGTGGTGCTGAATTGAAGCCAGGGCCTCAAGGATGCAAGGCAAGCACTCTACCATTGAGCCACCTTCCCAGCCCCCAACACATAGTTCTTGAATTCTGTATTACTATAGATACTCATTAATGAAGTATAGCTATTAGAAAGCAATGTAGAGCCAGATATCCAGAGCTCACGCCTGTAATTCTAACTACTCAGAAGGCTGAGCTCTACGATCACAGTTTTAGGCCAACCTGGGCAGAAAAGTTTATGAGACTTTTATCTCCAAGTCTCACCAGAAAGCTAGAATCGAGACTGTGACTCAAGTGGTAGAGTCACAGCCTTGGGAGAAAAAAGTAAGGGAGAGCACTTAGGCCCTGAGTTCAAGCCATAATACTGGCGCACACACATACACACACATGCACACAAAATCAGTATAACACCAGAAGAGTAAAATTAATACATTGATTACTCTTCTCGGTGGTCCAGAACAACACTGCTCAAGTTATTAAATTGTCATCAATGGGAATATATAATCTCATGTATCAAGTCCTTAAATGGTGAGCTAAACAAAATTTGCAGAATACTTTTTCTGTGTGTATCTATCTGAGGGCTTGAACTTAGGACCTTTGTAGTATCCTTGAGCTTTATTTGCTCAGAGCTAGCACTCTACTACTTGAGCCACAGCTGCACTTCTAGCTTTGTGGTGGTTAAGTAGAGATAAGAATCTCACACTCTCCTGCCCTGATTGGCTTAAAAATCATGATCCACAGATCTCTACCTCCTAAGTAGGTAGAATTATAGGAATAAACTATCAATTCTTAGCCTTAATGCCTAGACAAATCTTAGGATCATTTATTGGAAAATTGGTTTACGCAAAACTTAAAGCACTTCTTTTAAATTCCTAAGTGCACAAAAATCACAAAAAGGAATTTGGACAGAGCTAGGGTTAAATATTATCTTTTTGTTAGACAAAATTCACACATTTGAGGTTTTAAATAAATGATGATAGTCAAGTTTTATGGCTCACTCAACTCTGGGATTTAAAAATTCTCTTATGCTTAAAGACCACTTTTGTTGTATTTTGTACCTCAGATATTCAAGGAAATCTGTCATACTACTCTGTGAAGGTAAAAGAGAAGCAATTAGAGAAATTTCTTCCTATTTTGAAGCTATCTATCCTGGAGAAAAGAGAACCAGTAACAAAAATCCCTATGATGTTAGATAACCCTATGTCTAGTCCTAACAGTCCACATCACAGTGTCCAAAGAACTCAATAATTTCATCTAGGATTTGATCATCAATGTCAAAATTAACATTCCTAAAATAATTCACTATATATTAAATTAATTAAATAATCTACCATTCCATACCTAACACGGACAAATTGAGGAATTTTCCATCATGTAATAGAACACAACTTAGAATTTTGATAGACAAGTTGTTACAATATGACTTTCCAGGAAATCTAAAATGTACTGATATATCACTTAAGATGTAAGATTCGTGTTACTCCTTATCCCCAACATAAACCGTATCAATTTTCACTATTAGTCTCATAAATTCCTATTAGTAACTATTTGGCTTGACCACCTACCAGTACAAAAGAAATACAGTATTTGTTTCAGTAATATGAACCTCTGGCCCATGAGCTACATAAGGACTCTGAAATCAGTAGCTCTGGACCTGCCAGGGCATCTGAGGCCAGGACCCAAACTATCTCCACAGTATTCCTAAATGCTGTGGATGAATTCTGCTGGGCTGGATAAAATCCAGAGAAATACAGTTGCTTTGAAGTTGAATTGTTTTTCTTTTTGCTTTTCTTAATGCTTTTCTCCCATAGATAACTTTGCTCATCGAACTGCAGTTAGGAAAGCCTTGGCTCAGGATAAAGAATGGCAAGAACAATTCCTCCTTCCAAGTTTGCCTCTCATTGATAAACAAGAGAGTGAGATTACTTATCTGGTCCCTTGGTGCAAACTAGGAAAACCTCCAAAAGAAGGTAAGTCTCCCTCCTAACTAATTTTTGTTTTGATGAACAAAATGCTAAATCTTAAGTGGTGAAAAACTAACATTCCACTAGGGATGGGGACCTAATCCTTTTTTTTCATAAAGTAGCCTACAAGGATGGTTGATATGAAACCAAATGGAAGCTCTTAGCTTGTCCTTAAAAAAATAACTGGGAATTAAGTTTGAAGAAATTTTCCAAATTGAGATCTTTATATATTAGTAAAACTGAGCTATGCTGTAGAAAAATATATACATAATATAGAAGTAATCGTTTAAATATCAAATATTTTTCCAAATGATGACTTTTTAGTGACTTTTATTTATTATTTGAATTTAAGACCTAGCCGTTGCTAGGCAAGTGCTCTACCACGTGAGTCATATTCCTTATGCTTTTGCTCTCATTAGTTCTTTAATAGGGTCTTCTTTTTTAACCCAGGTTACTGTGGACCATGATCCTGTTCTTTATACTTTAGTAGCTGGATGATAATTACGCACCTCCCAGGCCCTGTTTTTCATTTTCTTACTTTTTCCCTGGCTGACTTCTAACTATAATCTTCTCTCCCAAATAGCTAGGATTATAAGTAGAAGTCACTACACTTAGTTTGTAATTAATCTCAAACATTAGGTTTATCTTTTCATAAAAATTGGTGGAAATGAACCAAAACTGCTAAGCTATGTTACTATAATCTAACATTTTTATCTTCCTCTCTCTTATTTCTGTTTGATAATAATTCCTTAAGATAGGTCTTATTGCTGATTTTACTTGCCATTGATGTAAAGAACCTCTAACATCCAACCAGTTTTAATTTATTTATTTTTTATTTGTGAACATACTGTACAGAGGGGTTACAATTACATGGGCAGGATAATGCGTACATTTATTACCAAGCATTGCAGCCTCCTCCTTTGGTTT